TATATATATATATATATATATATATATATATATATATATATATATATATATATATATATATATATATATATATATATATATATATATATATATATATATATATATATATATATATATATATATATNGCAAGAATCGCAGTAGCTGCCTGCGAGATATGCCTGGAGTATTGCAGAATGTTCGGATGTCCATGCACCGGAGATGTGAGGTGTACATTGTAGCCGGTGGCAGAAACTTCGAACACTTACTTTGGCCCATGTACCATATAATTTTTTCAATGTATTATTATAGCGATTTTTCACTTACGGTATCTTTTCTTTATGGTGCGTCTGTGTACGTCACCGCTTCAGGAAAGCATTTCCGACCCCACATTGCTATATGATTTCGAGTCGTCAGGATGCCCCCTACCCCCCTTAGAAGTTCTGAAACGCTTAACTGAGACACCCTGTATATATATATATATATATATATAAAGGCAAAATAAAGGATAAGAGAAAAGAGGGATTTTCAAAATTAAACAAAATAATAATAATAAGTTTTATTTACTGCAAGTACATAGAACTGATATGCTAAATGATAAATGCTCATATGATAAATACATGGAAAAAGTTAGAAAGATATTTTAAAGAAGAAAAAATTTTTAAAAAATGTTTTTAAAAATATTTACAATTTCAAAGCATAAAAAAATTTAAAAATTAAAATTAAAAAAGAAAATTTGCGAAATGAAAGAGGAAAAAGATATAAACTTGTCATCAACTTACACGATTAATGTAAATTTTATTTCTATTTAGAAAAAGATTTTAACAAACATTACAATATTAATCCAATGAAGGATTTTGTTTTCTCCTTTAAATATAATTATATTTATCAGCTTCAAGATCTAATTAACAACTTTTCTTTTGCTAATTTACACTTCAAAATTCTTTGTTTCAATGAAAGTCAAAATTAGAAACATTTCACAAAATAAAAAGAAAAACTTAGATAACTTAAATTTTAATATTAGCTTTCAAAATCCTATTTTTGATTTCATTAAATTTAATAATATTTTTGTCAAGTTAAAAAATTTGCTTCCATTAAATGATTCTAACATAATTAATACTTATAAATCTAATTAAACTCTTGGAAGAATTATTTTTAATTTTAATGACATTGAAATGGCGAAAATTTAGGAAAAATTAATAAATCCAATTACGAATGTCACTGTGAAGATTAGAAATATTTCGAATTCGTTGATAAACATTATAAACATTAATGGTAATTCAAATATTATAGAGGACTTAGAACTAAGAAATTTGTTGTTAAAAGGTTAAAATTGTGACCCATTTACCATATACCGATTGATAAAATTCTTAAATACTTTTCTTAATTAATTACTCGATAATTTTTTTTTTAAAGTTATCAAATAGATTCTCTTTACCTTTTGGTATGTTAACAGAATAGAAATGGGCTGTTTATTATTACTTTAAAACTTTATTTTTTAGAATAAAATAAAAAAATTTTAGATAACAGTAACAATTCAAAAAATTTTTCCAAAATTGATCAATCAATTAAGTAACTGCAAAAATATTTTATAGATAACCCCATTGGCAAAGCTGACAATAACTATGGAATTGTATGTAAAACATTTATGTTGAACTTTTAAATAAAGAATTAAATAATTGTAAAAATTTTAAGCTTTGTAATTTAAATAATAATATAATCATTAAAAACATTTTTAACTTTAAATAATTGGTTAAATGTTAAAACTAAAAATATGCATTTTCCATACCTAATAATCAGTCCAAATTCCTATCAAATTTAAAACAATCACTTGTGGGTCTGATTCTTAAACTAAACCTGGGTCCATTTTCTTTTACTACTTAAATAAAATTATTAAAAATAATAATAAAGAAGGTTTTTCTTGGGTTATCACTAATGATTAACCTATTTTACAATTTATTAAACAAAATAAAATTAATTATATTGCAACTTTTGATTTCCAAGATCTCCTTAGAAGCATTCCCCTTTCTAAACTAAAAGATGTTCTATTGCATTAATACTCTGATTATAAAAATATCCTTAATTGAGATTTTGATTATTAAGATATTCTAATTATATTTTGTCGTTTTAATAAAATTGTCTTTACAATAGAAAACATATTTTTGTTCAAATTAATGGAATACTACAAAGATCTAATGATTCATCCGTCTTAGCTAATTTATATTTACAATATTATGAAAAAAAATTATACTCCTAATTTTAAATTTGTTTTTAGATTTATTGATGATTTAATTGTCTTTAATTTTTCAAAATTATGCAATGTTGTTAAAATATATTTACCCCGAGGAATTAATCTTGCTTCGTAATCATGACGATAATATTAATTTTAATTTTTTGGACTTAAGTATTAAAAAAGAAGATTTTTACGATGGAAGAAATTATTTTAAATTTAATATAAATAAATAAAGTAATATAATAAATATACTAATAAACTAATTTAATATAAATAAACTAATATTTTTCAAAACATTCATTTAAATAGCATGTTTAATCAAATGAATAAGAATTAAAAGAATTTGCAGTAATGTTTATTTATCCAAAAAACAAATTATCGAACTTTTTCAAAATTTAATGAGAAAAACAATGTCTATTTAACTAATGTAGTTAAATTCCATATAAAATAGTTGACTTAACTGTCTGTTATAATTTTAAAAAATTTTGTTAACAAAATTTATATTTTTGCAATGTGCAATTTCCAATTCTGTAAAATTCCTGGCTAAAAATTTTCAAATATTTAATAAAGAATTTTTTTTTTAAATAATGCATTTTTTTTTCATTAAATGTTAATAACTACCATAAATTCAACCTTATTAACATTAAAATTTTATAATTAAAATTCAACATTATTAATTATAAACTTTGAATTATCCAGTATAATATTATTAGTTTCCGCTTATCCTGATTCAGGCTAATCCAAGGTAACTAGCAAATAAAATGCACTTCTGTACTTCAGTAAGAACGTGCCATAAGTTGATCCCTTTATCCTCCACTTGCGCTTTTATTTTCATATTTTGAAAATCATTTAAATCGTTTTTGTAAATTGTCTATAAGTATTAGGACATTTGAATACGTTACTCACTTTATATATAACATTTTTAGTTTTTTTTTTGTATTTTCTTTGATTTTTAATTTTTGGCTTGATTGTTTCATTTTGCTCTTTTTTTTTTCTTTTTTTTTAATTTTACATTTTTGCTAAACAAGTTCTATTTTCGTTTCAATGTTTTTGGTGCACCTCACACTATTGTATTGATATATTTTCCTTCCGGTATATTAATACAATTTTATAAAGCACTATCTTTTTCGGGTATAATCATGTAAGCTGTTGACAAGATTATATCTTTACAATTTTTCTTAAATGTAAATTTTTTTTTAAATTTTAAATTTGTGAATATCTTTAAAAAACATTTTCAAATATTTTTTCCCTCCTATAAAGATTTTTTATATCTTTTTTTTTATAAACAAACTAATTATGTATCGAAGTTGTCAGGTAGACAGAACAAAAATATATCACAGTTACAATAAAGTGCATAAAAAAATAATAAATCTAAGTTAAGTAAAAACGCAGACGAAAGAGACTTCTATTTCAACAAATTTGATGGGCGATACGATGCTCTATTTAATTAACTTTACGTTAATTGACACTCTAACTTATGTAGAGAAACGTAACTCAACTTTAACTAGCTATTTTGATAGTAACCATCAGCTAAAGTTGACATTATAGGTCACATATGTGGAGTATTCATGATCGTCTTCCTCTTGAAGTGCAAGTACCCAATTAAAGAATGTAATTAATTTTAATTGAAATAACACGGAGTTAAAAATATTCTTGCTCGATTCGCCCATTAGTCACGTGGTTTCATTATGAGGAAAAAAATTATTCCGCTTTCTGTTATATTTTAACTCTATGATTCAACGTTTGTTATAAAAAGAAATAAAATACTTTTCACAGTTATAAACAAATATTCATCATAACGCGTTCACTAGCCGTAATGGCTCATGAGATAGAGCATTCGCCTTCCAATGAGGTTAACCAGGTTCGAATCCAAGCAGTGGCTGTTCGATACGAATTCCGTACCCGGTTTGCACCGATCACAGTGCTGATGTAAAATATCCTCAATGGTAGACGGATCATGCGTTAGAGTGCCGTGGCCGTCAGGCTAACCGTGGGAGGTTCTCGTGGTTTTCTTCTCCATGTAACGCAAATGCTGGTTAGTTCCATCAAAAAGTCCACCACGAAGGCAAATTTCTCCCGGTACTTGATCCAGGAGTTCCCTTGTCTTCTAGATTAGGTTCAAAGCTACGGAGTTGAACATAAGTAGTCGAAACCCGAAAAATTGGGTCGGCTGTTCAAAGACTGTTACAAAACGAAAAATTATAATAACATGTTCATGAATGTAAATTATATTAATATTTAATAGTTATCATTATAAAATGTCAGCGTTCGAGTTCAAAATTTCACTTTATTTTTGTTGCTTTTTTTATTTTGCTTCTAGGAAATAGTGTTGTATATTTTCAACTTCACACGTAACTGAGAGAGTCAGTCATTGTTTTAAATAATGAGAAACGAATATATTATTGGCAGGTTCTTCTTTAAAATTTTGCTATCAATCGTTAACTTTTATATTAAAACTCATGTATCACTGTATAGTGTTTTAAAGTTAACATTTCAGCATTTTTACCTTTTACTATTTATTTTACTTTTAAACGTGAGAGTTAAACATTTTAAACTTTTTTTATTTTATTTCCAATGCAGCAGGCGATACAGACATTATCCTAACGCCGTACAGAGATCAAAAGAAAAGAGAAATACAAACATAGGAAGAGATGAAATATACAAAATACAAAATCAAAACATCAAGCACAAAAATTAAATCACGAATTTAAATTGAGCAAAAGGTCTCTGGCCTCCCAGTATCGGGAGTAGATACAGTTCTTTGTGAGAACTGAACAGTTGAGGAGATGTTCAGCATTCATCGTCACACCACTGCGGCAGAGGGGGATTATCCACTATTTCAAGACGGAAAAGATGAGCGTATAAGCAATCGTGCTTGGTAGTAAGACGAAAGGCAGCTACAGCACTGCTTCTTGGGCAATCGAGGAAATTAAGGATGTCATTTCTCCACGATTTTTCTACTGTCCGTTCTTTTAGCAATGATATATGTGCTGTCTTAATTGCATGATTAATCATTAACGAAGTGGACTTATAGCTAACCAAGTTATTTGGGGCTTGATTAACAAAGCAACTTTTTTTGGCCAGTGCATCAACTTTTTCGTTGCCGGGGATACCGCAGTGGGATGGAATCCATTGTAAGGCAATCGTTTTATATTTTTCACCTATCTCTGTCATTAAAGATCTACATTTCACAGTGAACAAAGAGCTAGGGGCTTTAGAGTAGTTGGCAATGGCCAGAATCGCAGCTTGGGAATCTGAGAAGATGGCAACTTGATCAAAAATAGGAGGACGAGCATTTAGATGAGTTAAAGCTACTTTTTTTGCCTCAACTTCACCATCAAAATCGGTCTTGGCAAACATTTTAACACTAAAACATTTTAAACTTGAAGAGAAAAAAATAAAGAAAAGAAAACTGACTTTTTTTTTTAGCTACACATTTTATCGTGATTTGAAAGAAATATTCAATATTATTGGTTATCAAATGCATGTGATGATGAATATTGAAACGTAGAACTTAAGAATTTAATTTTGAAATGTCGACGTTAATAGTATATTCTAATGTTCGATTATTGGAGTTCAAACATTTTATCGTATCATTTTTTCTTTCCTTTTAAGCGTTTGCCATTTTTCTTAGAGTTTATTAATGTTAACAGTGGCGTACGCAGAATTTTTTCAAGGGGGGTGTTCATAATTTTCTGAAACTACTAAAAGAAATTCGAGTCTGTAATAAAGCACCATTATTTCCCTAATTTAGACAGCTAGACAATTTTGACTTTTTATTTAGACAACATTTAGTTAAAGTTTGATTTGATTTTTTAAGTTTAAGAACATAATGTAATATCTTCTAAAAAAGTCCAATGTCATATGGGTGGGAAGTAACACTTTGAGGGCCACTTTCACATTCACTAGATTTTGTTATGCTAGAAACGTTTTCTTCAACGGAAGTATCACATTTCTGTACAACAGAAAAACTTACATTGGTACTAGATGCTGCCACCTCACTAATTTTAGGTCGCTGTTTTTTCTCAAAATAATTAAAAATTGTTAAATTCTTGCGTTTTGACATTCTAAAGATCCAAGAACAGCAAATATATATATATATTGGCACAGAAATATCCGCTATGCTACGATCTCAAAGTTTCGAGCTGGAATGAATAACTTCAACGAGCACAGTATCTCCAATGGTATTGTTACTGATTTCTTCACTAGTCGAAATAGTGGCGACGACGGGTTCGGCGATTGAATGAACTTTTTGTTGAGATAAATCAAAACAGATTTAGCGACAAGCTCCGAAAGACAAGCGGCAGAGATAACTCTTAGTCTGACTAACTAACTCCACTGTACTCCGTTCCCCCTTTTATATAATTTTTCAACGCATCTCCAAAATTCTCGAATTGTCTCAAAGACGACAGAACGTCTAGGATTCCAGAATCATCGCGTAAAGACCTCGCGAATGACAGCCAGTCTCGAAAACTATACTGGTAGGACAGAAAGGAACCAGTCCGTAACAGTATCACGTGAATTTGGTTTCAAAAGTACAACCCTATTATAGTAAATGTTTTTTCAGTATTCTGAGAAGTACCGTGAGAAAAAAAAAGTAGTCATAAGGCAGATAAAAATATATAGCCTTAAAAAATAATAGATCTCATAATTTCTACTAAAATTTTTATTTTTGCCATTTTGTCTAGGCTCAAGGGGGGTGTTTAAACCCCTAAACCCCTCCCTTGCGTACGACACTGAATGTTAAAACTTCATGTTAAAACGCTTTCACATTAAAACGTCATAACGCACGTTCACCGAGAGTTGGCACTTGGCTCCGTCTTCATCACGTGGTAAGCGACGATACTATTTCGCTCTTATTGGGAGAAGGTTGTGAGCAATCCTAAACAAGGTTGCTATTTGGCAATCGTATGGCAAAAATGTATATTTCGCCAACTTTTTCAGCACTTTTTAACATTAAATATTTCAAAAATTTGATGATATTTTGCTCCATTTTTATGATATTTCTCTCTTTAGAGGGAAAAATGTGTCCTTTTTGAGACATTTTGCTGGGAAAACAGCAGTTTTTCAATTAAAATGTACTTAATTACCTAGAGAAACGAAAGGTATAATAGCGAATGATAAAGCGAAGTAAGTGACTGAAAAAGAATTCACTGCGTTTGGCGAGCATTAAAGGTTGTCTCACATTCAAGCGCGGATATGTATCTTTTCTTACTCCTGCGCTGAAATGAACTCTGCTTCCTAGGAGGTGGAGCCAAGTGCCAACTCTTGGTAAATGAACTATACATTCACTTTTCTTTCCGACAAAAACTTTTTTTATGCTTATAGATGAATAATTAATTCAGTTTATTTATAACCAGCTTCCTACTATCAAGGTTCAACTCCACAGCCTTGTAATTTCTTACCCACCCCAGAAGACAAGGGAACTCCTGGATCAAACATCGGGAGAAACTAGGTTTCGTGGAGGACTTCTTGATTTAACTAGCCCGCGTTGGCATTATATGGAGGGGAAAACCATGAAAACTTCCCTCGGTCAGCGGTACGGTAAGAGGACTCTAACTCGTTATTCTTGCTCCACTGAAGATATTTTAGGTCAAAACTGAAGTCGGTAAGAGCCGGAATTCGCTGGATTTCAAACCTGGGTCACCACGTTAGGACCATAGTCAAAATTTGTAATGGTTTTTCCATTGAGGTAACAAATCCAACATAATCTTGAAGGTAACCATCAATAATTCCACCATGAGTCATTATATTTTTTGATAGTAACCAATATAAGTAATCATCACCTCAATGTAGAAATTCGAACTGATTTATGGTGGTCAAACATTCGAATAGCAACTTGCATTGGTGGTTTGTTTATGTTGAAACATCACTAATTTCCATCGTAGCATCTTAGAAATCAAATGTTGGGAGCATCATGAACAGCCACCATCCCACTATAGGAATTCGGACTGATTTATGATGGTTCATCATCAGAAAAACCAAATTGTTCTGATGGTATATTCCCGAGATCCAACAAGAATTCTCATTAAATCATAATGGAAATGTACAGTTGAAACCATCACGGACCATCACGGATTGATGGTCTATGAGAATGAAACGTCTCTTGATGTTTAACCATCATAGTATTAAAGTAGCATTTTCCATCATGGAATGATGAAAGTTTGTCAGCATACCAAAAACCATGAATGCGTGATGGAAAATGTTTCATGATGGTGACCATCAAATGATATTGCATCATCACGAATCGCACTGAAACCGACATAAACCATCAATTTTTTTTTATGGGACCATCAAGAATTTTGACCTAGGGAGGCATGCGTTCTATCCCCTGAGCCACCACGGCTGACTTTTCATTAAATGTTCTTAATAATATAACCACTTCACTTTTTCATAAATTTTAAAGGGGATAAACGTCGACCTGTTTCAAGCGATCAAAAACAAGCAACCATACTCAAGTCTCACCAAATAATGATTGTTGTAATTCATTTACGTCGCACTAGAGCTGCACAATGGGCTATTGGCGACGGTCTGGGAAACATCCCTGAGGATGATCCGAAGACATGCCATCACAATTTTGATCCTCTGCAGAGGGGATGGCACCCCCCCTTCGGTAGCCCAACGACCTGCACGCGAAGTCGAGCACTTTACGGTAGCACAGTTTAACGAGGACCAATACCGCACACCCTCGGTCCCTACGCAGACTGATCCAAGTGGATCACCCACCCGCACACTGACCGCAGCCAGTGATGCTTGACTTCGGTGATCTGCTGGGAACCGTGTCTTAACGATCAGTCCACTGCGGGACACCAAGTAATGACAAAAAAGAAAACGCAAAATTGAATAAAGATGAAATATAAAAAGTAAAAACGCAGCTGCAACCGCGAAACAAATCTGGGCAAGATGCATTTCCAAGCATTATTGAGGAAGGCGAGGCACTCGTGTCTTTAACTTGGGAAGCGGAATTCAGATGAATGAAAGAATATTTCATAACAAGAAAAGCATCATTTGGCGTTATCGAAATTAAATTTATATTCCTGGTTCCAACACTGAGCAGCAGTTTATTAACCAACATACCAACAAAGTGCGACAGTTCATTCACATAATGTCATTACTCAATTTCCTCTTGAACGGTATGAGTTCATCATCAAGCCTCAATGACGAGGGGACATGCATCCTGTCCTAATTAGCCTGTTGAAAGCCACGGTTTTTCCAGATTTGTTTTAAATTTTAATTTAGTTTCCTTTTTTTTGTTGAAATCTTTGCGTTTTCCATTTCAATTCTGTTTTATTTTCTTCGTTCACGTCTGGTAAAACTTGAGAATGGGTGCCTGTTTCTGAGAGCTCAAAACGTGTCAACTTTTTCCACGCATTTAGTTTATGAGGCAAATAAAGTTTTCACACTATCAAGTTTATCTTCTAGCTTTAAATTCTTGGGATCATTTATTTAATTCATTCATTTGACTGAGATCGCTCATAGCGTCTATTTGATTTAAATTGTATAAAAATATTATTTTATTCATATACGGTTTTAATCTTTTTTTCTTCTTTTTGCAAGCTAACCTTGGTGGCCGGGATAGACTGGTTGGTAAGGCACTGATGGGCCAATGTCCAAGAGTTCGTGGGTTCGATCCCGGCCGACCGAAGACTCCCCGTGTAGTAAATGGCCACTGATGCACGTTAAATATGTCGCGTCGCAAAGTCCTCCATGTTTCCACAACAAATAAATACCTCTGGGGGTACTGATCTAGGAGTTTCCTTGTCTTCTGGATTGGTTCAAAATTTCAAATCTACGGAATTGATTGTTAACTCGTAACCCCAAAATTGGGTCGGCTGTTCAACGATGGATAGAAAATATGACATAAAATCTAACCGTGGGAGGTTTTCGTGGTTTTCCTCTTCATGTAACACAAATGCTGGTTAGTTATATCGTAAAATCCTCCACGAAGGCAAATTTCTCTTTATACTTGATCAAGAAATTCCCTTGCCTTCTGGATTGGGTTTAAAATTGTAAGACTACGTAGTTGAACATTAGTAGTCTTAAACCCAAAAATTGTGTTTGTTATAAAATAAAATAAAATCTAATGTAAAGTTTTTTAACATCAAAATGCTACTGTTATGGCAATTTACCGTTATCATACCGAGGTTTTTTTTCCTTTCAAACATTAGTTTTTAACGCTTTAATAGAGTCGTTTTTATGATTTAACGTTAAACTGTTTTTTTACGCAAGTTTTTATGATTTGTTCTTTTATTTTTTCTAAATTGTATTCAAACGATATTTCATCAGCAACTGGTGTTTGACATCCTATTTTCCGCCTTGGGTTAAAACATTTGTCATAATTTTGGACTCTTATAATCCATTTCATATCGATCAAATTTCAGAATAATCGTAATCCATTTATATCGATCTGTCGTCAATGAGTAATGGCTCCCCTTCGACATTATCAACAGTTGTAATGGATTCGTATGCAAATATTCTAATGTGTTAATGACTTTTGTAAATAAGTTAACGGAGATCGTGTTTAATCGCCTGCAACTTGGATATCGAATTATGCCTCTTGACTTTGAACTGGACTATTACAGCCCCCCCCCCCAACCGAATAGATTTACTCTCGAAACATTTTTGGAAGTTATTTAACATTTGCAGTTGTCTGACTTAATTATTTGTTATTTCAATTTTTTATTTAGCATTTTCATTTATTTATTTTTGAACTTAAAATTCTTTTTTAGTACTTTAGAAGTAGTAAAATGTTATTTTTTTTAATATAGTTAAGAATTTAATAAATTGTACGATATAGTATTGAAGTATTTTTATATTGTGTAATTAAAAGTTAATAAATTTGTTAAATTTGCTATCAAAAATTTATTAATCATGCTCTTTCTAAATCTTAAGTTTATTTTAATTTGAATGCTTAACTTCATTTTACGTTAAATTATCGAATATCATAAGTGCTTAGAGAGTTACGTCATATGGGTAATATTCTTTGATTCGTTGAGGATCAAAAATTACCAATAAAATAAAATGAAAGAAGTATTTTTTCATTGATCTAACATGAAAACCTTGGCAAGTGCCTGCAAAATCTCGAAATTATAGGTGATTTTACCTGTTTAAAAATTGTTTAAAGCATCTATTCTATGTTACAATAGTACAAAATATCTATAAATATTTTGGGTTAACGTATACTATTATACTATAAACGACCATATATATATATATATATA